ATTTAAAAAAACAAGAAAATCCCCAATTTCTGTCCATGGGGTTGTTTGCAACATCAGAAGACTCTTAATTTGAAGAGGCCTTTTGGTTCTTATTTTGCCCATGCAGATGAGGGGCTGCACCTCCACAAATGGAAATGTTGGCACATTGGGCAGGTGCAGTTTTCAGAGGCTCTCTTACATTACTTTTTTAGGACTAGACGTTGCATGCCGCCTGTTTCTGTGCAACAAGGGACTGGAAGGCCCAAACTGGGTCAACCAAGGTCTCCTTGACTTTATTTCAGAAACTCAGTGGAAAGCCTAAGGTTTTCCATCTTCTTTTTGCAGCACACGGTACTCTCCCCTATCAGAACCTGTTCTCTAAGTGAATGGGAAGGCTGCTGGCTGGCTATTGCATGTTTCAGCTAGACAGACCTGTACTTTAGCAGACAGGTAGAATGTAATCCTGTGACTGGAAGATGAAGCTAGAAGAATTCAACCTAGAGATGCATTTTTAAGTGAGAGTAATTAACCATTTGCATCAATTTACTTAGGGCCATGGTGAATACTTTGTTACTGGAAATCTTTAAATAAAGATTGCAGATCTTTCTGAAAGAGTCTCTTGCTCAGCAAGAAGTCATCAGGTTCAGTGTAGATCTGACAAATGATGATAATGGTGCTTTTTACCCATTTATTATATTCAGACACAACACAGACCTTGGAATTTATACCTTTTGTCTCACTGTCATAATTCTCCTTTTTATGCAATTATTTGTAACTTGACAACAGCCTCCAAGAGTGTGTGTACTCTGCTCCCGCTGCCTTCCTGGGAACAGGCACTCCAGTCTGGCTCATTTTTCAGCTCCTACCTGCATATACCAAATCTAGAAATTCAGCAGTAAAGCCACTCTCGGGTTGCCCCCATGACTACGTTTGATATCTGTTTCTCTTGAGAACAGCCACAGGGGATTCCACTTGAGCAGTTTTCCCACCGCTTGTGCAGGTTGGGCACGTCTGGGCAGGAGGCATGTCCAGGTTGGGCTCGTCTGAGCAGGAGGCATGTCCAGGTTAGGCACGTCTCAGCAGAGCTGAGCCACAGAGCCAGGCACCCTCTGGCTTGCATTCCTTCTGGCCCCATATGTCCTTCCCTCTTGGCTTCCCATGGAGAAATTGGATTTCGGCCTGTGTTTGAGCGTTGTGTTCTCCTTTGCTATTAAGTTGTTGCATTGAATTATTTTGTTGTTTCTTACCACCTTAGACTATGCTCAAGCTGGCGAGTCTGTCTTTAATAGTCGGCTTGCTCAAGCTTACACTGTGATGGTGCCTAAGATGTATTATTGTGCTTCCTGTGTCCCTGGGAAAGGGGCCACAGTCTTCATTTGTCCCCTGCTGAAAGGCAAACTCAAGCTTGTCTCCCTGCTTGGGAACCCACTTATCTATTGAACTATAATTTGGCTTTGACTGTACCCATGGAGGGACCTTTTGAGTCTGGGAGTGCCTGTTTGCCTAAAGGTCTCACTTCTAGAAGCCATTACCTTAGCCAACAAGGTCTGAATTGCAGGCACTTATAGCCATCCTGCTGTACACTGTATTCCACATACTCAAGGGCCTATTTATGCCTCACTTCTGGTCAGACAAAATGGCATGAGGTTTTTGTCAAATCGTTTCTGTTACAGCTTGCTTATCTCTTTCTCCAAGCCTCCTGGGAAGGGACAGTGGCATACTCTGGATGGTAAGAGTGATTAGCTACTGATTAGGGTTAATTTCCTTAGACTGCGGGGAAAACTATTTGTGGCCTCTGGAGTAAAATCTGAATGCTAGGCTAGGTTGGCTGAGCTTACTGAAGGAGTGAAGAGACTGTACCCAGTTATGTTGTGAGCCTGCTGTGTCCTGTGCCTGAGCAGCTTGGGATAACTTGGCTAAAGGAGCAGTTTGAACTTGCAGCGTTTCTCTGTCCAACATCTTTTAGGCTGTGATGTGGAGGGCAAGGTTCATTGCTGTTCATCTCTTGCCTGCCTGTTGGCAGGAGTCTGTCAGCTGTTGTGGGACTCAGTGGCAGCTGTCAGAGAGAAAAAGGTAGTCACTTAGGAACAGTCCTTTTTGTTCTCCAAGTGGACCATCTCCTCGGCCCACACTGACCCTCCCTCACTCGCTTCTCTTTGGCATCTCTGGTGGTAGAGGTCCTTAGGGATGGTTGGTGATGGTGGGGTACTTCTGCCTTCAACCTGATGGAAAAGCATGTACCCCTCCCCCTAGTGGCCAGTTATTGCTCCAAAATGGTTCTGTGGCCATAGAGCAAGGTGTGTGCTTCTGTAGAGGCAATGCTTTTGAAGATGAGGTCCTGCCATTGTTAGCTAACTCATCTGCACAGCTTGTGCAGGCACTATAATTTATGGTGTTCAGCAATACATTTAAGTCTGTAATATGTTACTGTGAAGGAACTGCAAACAATGGAAACTCTCATAAATCCTGCTGACAGCCTGATCTCAATGGCTTAGCAGAAAACGGAGCCGAGGAGCAGAGTGTTATGTACAAGAAGGATGCTTTTTAGCCTCCTGGGATTCCTTCAGCCTGCAAAATACACCGGGTCTCGAGCTAACTCACTCGTGCTTGTCAGTAGGCAGCCAGGCAGAAGGCTGGCTCCTTGAGGCAAGGAGTAGGGCCTGTGTCCTGAAGTGCCATCTAATGCGAACGCCGTCTGGAGTGCAGTTGCCCGCTTTGTGCACAAAGCTGCAGATCATGCATGGACAGCTCAGGTGCTGCTTCTTGGAAACCTACCTTGTGAGGTGGATATAAAATGTTCTTACATTTCCTCTCTGCTGTTAACGACTGTTTTATTTCACAGCCCTTGGTTACAATTTATAATGCAGCTTGCTTACCCCGGCAGGCTGTCTAAGGTAGCTGTGCCCTCTTACTAGGAACTCTGACCTGTGCAAAACGACTCATCATTAATACATCTCTGTAATGGTTTGTTTATTTCAGCTCCTCTCCAAGCTTTTCTGTCTAATGGTTTTGTTTGCTGTTTCTGCTTAGCTTATCAATCAACAGATTATCTCCCTTCAGCACTGGAAGGTAAATCTGCGTTGCATTAAACTTCTCTGACTAGAACCTTTCCTAGACCTGTGGCTTGGACATGATTAATCTTTAATGCTTTGGTACTAATTGAAGGAAGAACTATATTGACATAATGTTGTGATTCTGCATGCTTAAGGCTCTAATGCTTGCTTACACTGCAAACAGCCAGACTGATGTTTGTCACACATGGTGTTGTGAGGTGCAAAAAATATTCCTTTTTATCAGTGAAAGAAAGGAGAAAAGGATTGTCCAGCTGTTTCTTCTTGTTAAAGAGAGACTTCCATACAGGGACACGCTTTAAAAAATAGAAGACAAACTTCAGGCAGTAACTTGGGGCACATCTCTTCTGTATTTCCCCTCTGTTCAAAGAAGAGTTCTCCTTTCTCCCTCCCCCCATTATATTCCTTTCCTCCCCAGCTTCCTCAGCAATCCAGATTCCCCTTCAGATTCCCCTTCATTTGGTAAGTGTAGGGTAGCCGTACTTATGGCATTCAGTTATAATCTGTATTGCAATCAATACTGCCTCCCTGCAGAGGCAAATAGGAGAGGGTGGGCTGCTTAGGAGAAGTTCCCTCCCAGGCAACCCCAAGGCTTCAGAATATTGCTATCAAAATGGCAAGGAATGGAAAACCACACCAAGAGTGGGGGTGAAGAGAGAGATGTTTTCCAAATTGGCTTGGTCTGAAGGTTTCCCTAGTCTGGAAGTCACTCCTTAATGTTTAAAAAAGGCTACTGAATTGCCACCCTCTTGTTCATTCTTCTTAACTCTCTTCAGATTATGAACTCCTCTGCTCCCTATCTACTTCTGTCACAAATGTGCAGACTTAGCAAGGTCCAAAGGGTAATAGGGACTGCAGTCTCCACATGTCAAATCTGAGCAGTGCTCAGAAAACTGATATATTGACTTGCAGAAGAGCTTCAATTGGACTTTCGCTGTGGCCAAGTGATAAGGGAGAGATTAAATGCAGCATTTTCTGAAATTCCAAGAGTTACTCAAGGAAGTGACCTGAAACTGAAATGGCTAACAAAAAAGTTGCTACAATGAAGGCACTAACTACTGCAGTTCTTGTTCCCCTGTAGAAAATTACATTGGTTCTCATGGCCACTTCGCAAGGGCCCCAGCAAGATGTGGACAAACCTTGTCTGACCGATCTTGTGTGTCTGAATTGGACCCAGAACTTGGGGGCTCTGCTTTTCCTTCAGCATTCAGTAGCCTTCAACATGTCACATCTGACTCAGCAATTTGCACCATGAGGGCTAAATTCATCCCTGGTGCCATCCATGAATGTTGGTGGAGTTACACCAGACCTGAACTTAGCCCTAAATTTCAGTGTGTGAATCACTGGTTTGTGAAAGATGCTGCATAATTGGCACTCAGTGGTATCTGACATGTTTGATGCTTGGGAAGTTCCAACTTCATCTCCACGTATCTAAAAGGGCTTTACTGGGACTGGGGTGGAACCCAACCCAGGTGAATGCCCAGTGACCAGACAGTCAGCCCTCCACCCCAATGTCTGTCCTCGTGGTGAGTTGCCTTCGTTGTCCTCTGGAAAGGGGCAGAGGTGTGGGGGGTGTAGAAGGTTTCCTTTGCTTTGAGGTCCCTAATGACTTCAGTAGTCTCTTCCCTACATATTACATGGATATGGTGAGCTGTTCACCAGGGCCAGATTCCTGAGAACAGCCTGCCTCATACCAGTTATCATTAACACGGTGCACAGAAGCATGAGCTCAAGCTGTGGTGTTTGGGGACAGACCTGGAGTCTGGTGTTCTCCTCCAAGTTGGTAAGTATTTGGAGCTTGGGATTACTTTGACCTTTTAGAGTGAGGGAGTTTGTGAGACTCGGATTCCTACCTTCACCCCCTTCAGAAAATGGAAGAGCTTGGAGGTTGATTCTGGGGCTTGATTCAGGCCCATCTCTCAACCCCAGATTTTTTCTCCATGCTCAGGGAATCCATTTTCCTAGATCTCATGCAAACTGCCAGTATCAGGAGGCAAGAGAATGGAAAGTGAAATAATGGAGCTGCAAGTTCTGGCTAAGTCTGTAGGTGGTTCAGGTCCCTGGTGCCCATGGCACTATCCAGGTGCCTGTCACAAGCTTAGAGCCCTGACATGAACCTCTGTTCTGAGACTGCATCTATACTGCAGTTGAGTGTGACTGCAGCATACCTGCCTGTGCTGGTTTGAAGCTAGTGCATATGCATCTGTGTGCTGAACCCTCCCTCTGACTTCAGTGTAGACATAGCCTATATTTAATCTTTTAGAATGGAAGTGAATCAAATAGAGATGGGGACTGAATTTCCCCTGCCCCATTAGTGATGCTCAACAGGTAAAGCATGAACAGCAGTAGCGTCAGCTTCCTGTTATAGTTTCATAGTTTCTAGGGTTGGAAGGGACCTGAGTAGATCATCTAGTCCGACCCCTTGCCATGGCAGGAAAGATTACTGGGGTCAAACAACCCCAGCAAGGTGTTCATCTAACAATTATGACTTAGAAGTACTGCTCTGGAGTCAACTAGCACATCAGTGGTCCTTTCTTTCTCTGCCCTTGCTGAGACTGGCTAGCCCCAATCACAGAATTGTGTCAGGAATGGTTTCTGTGATTGTTTTCAGCCTCCCTGCATGCTTATGGGAGCTGGACACTCTTGGTTTTGTTCTGGGCAATGGTACCTTTCCTCATTGATGACAATTTGTATCAACAGTGTTGCCAGCTATCAACTGTCTTGAGGTATTTGGTGTTTCTCATAAAGCCCCACTTCCTGGAGTCCTGCTATTTCTATGAGAATCTCACATTTCAAACAAAAACTGCATTTCCACCTTGTCTAGCTACAGAGAAATGCAGAAAATATTATTCCCAGAGTCTTCCAAGGCAGAAACTAAATAAAGACCCAAATTTAAACCAAATCAGGGGATGTAATAACAAAGCAAATTGCATGAGCTTTTGGGGCTCGTGATGATTCAAAACACTTTTGACTGCTGATGGCTGGCAGCATGGCATAAATATACATTGTGTTGATTTTGTGCTATACGTGAATAGCACTTGAAATTGCTTTACAATATGCATATTAAAAATGTCATAGACTATACTGGCTTCTTGGACAGTTCAGGCAGATGCTTCAGCCTGAACTTATGTCTACAAAATACAGTGCATGAGCTCACGTGGTGTGTGGTCCACAATGCCTTGGCATGGTGGCAAGAACTGAGGTAAGAAGTCATGTCAGCTTCATATATAATTGCTTTGTCTGAAGATGCATAAGCCAGACTTATAACATCCTGTAAGACGATGGTTGTATGTGAATACAAAACTATTGCTGAAGTATGATGCCCTGGAGGCTGTAACTCCTATTAAGTAAAGCCTATTTTCTTGTAAAAGGGGACACTGTTGCTGCCAACTTGACCACAAATTCATAATCTGGAAATCCTAAAACCAATGGAAAAGTTTACACCATTTAAGTAGAATTCTACTGAACATGATACTTTCCCTACAGCCTGTGAAACCTATTCCTTTGAACTCATTACAACACCAAGAGTGTAAAAGTGAAGCTGGCTTTATTGACTTCTTTTGTTTTATTGTCCCAAGTTAAAAAATGTATCAAATAAACAAGTCATAAACAATAGTAGGTATAGTGAATTTAATTATTTCTCTGCTAATCTGGAGTGTCATAAATTATTACAAAGGGGATGTTTGACAGATGATTATTAATTTGACAGTGTCCATGTAATATTTAACCAAGTGTATTAACTGTCAGTTCCCATATTCAGTTATGTATCAATGACTGTCAGCAGAATATCAGCACAGTGCAAGAATGCCTGAGAGGGAGGGAACTGAACATGAGAACATTGGGCCCTAGAGAGTAACAAGGAGAGACATCCGACACCAGACACGGCGTTATTGGATTGAGGGAGGGAAAACCCTTTAATTTGTTTCTAGCAAATTAATCTGAGCTCTAAGAAATACTTCTTGCATCTTTTAGGAGCACCTTCTGCGCTATCATTTCTCAGCTGACCGAGGAGACCCAGCCGCTGTTTGAAACCACTATCAAGTCTCGTTCTGTGTCTGAGAACACGGATGCTAAATTCACGTGCATAGTGACAGGTAATGGCTTCTGCAGTGAAGTAACCCATCCCAGCCTGATCCATTACTTCTTGTGGTTAGTAGCATAACTCTGGAGCAACAAAGAATAAGGCCAATGTTACCAGCCATCCAGCTGCTAGAGTCAAGTGTTATTCAGCTTTAGTAATGGGTAGAGGCTGGCATTCATCATAGCTGAAAGAAGCTTGGGAACAAGAGCTAAGTCTGTCCCCAAAGCTGAAAAACTGAAAGGCAAATGAAAATAACTTAACATTGTCTTTAATAGAAAATCTCCCAAGTTTTTGGGGTGCCTGCTTCCTGAGTTCTGAATCCAGGGTTTCTCAATGTTGCTGTCTCCCCACTTATCCTTCAGTTTAACTTATTAGCACTGCAGCTGCGATGTCCCTCAGGTAAGAGTCCCTTTGCAGAGCCACGCAGAGGTTTGTTCTGTTGGGCACATGCCATTTCAAAGCTGAATTCTGACAGAGCCTGTTTTGACCTTCACATGATGGCATGCAGCTGCAGTTATGCTAATGCACATCCTTCTCCTTTGGTATATTTAATTGGAAATCATGACATAAATCTGGAAAAGAAAGTTTGGCACTGAGATGCCCAACATTCATCCCCTTGTCCTGCCTTTCCAAATCCTGTGTGTATGTGGGGCCAAGTGTGATTCAAGCCCTGTGCTTTGATGCTACTGTAATTGATTGCTAACCCAAGATTGAAAGGAGATTCTAGATTTCTTACTCCTCAGGACTAAACAATTAGCCAGTCATCACTGTACTTCTGATCTACTTTTAGCAGGACTGTTACCCAGTGGCTCAAGTGCCAGGACTTTACACTTTCATGGTGTGTATGTGACTCAGGTGTGAACAGAATTTGACCAGTGGTATCTGTTCAAACTGCACCTGTGCCCTGCTGTCTTTGAGCCCCTTCCATGCCTTGAGGGCAGAGCAGTCACAGCCC